TTCCGCTACAGGACGTTGAACGTTTCGATTATATTTATCTTCGAAATTGACTTCAACTTCTGGGAGTCATAACTCGGGTTCTATACCACCTACAAAAATAAAACAAAGCAATCTCTTTGCTATTTAATTATCTTCATTTTTGCTTATGATAATTTTTTTGATAAAACTTGTAGTTTTTGAGGTATTCGCGAAAAATGGCTCAAAAACATGAATTTTTGGGCTAAAAACGAATATGTTTAGACGCAAATAACTCAAAAAGTATTGACTGTACAAAAAATTCGTATAGAAAATTTTTTGCTTAGAATTCGTTCCTCTACCGAATCGATTATTTTTAATAAAAAAAAATCCCACCCTCCAGAAGGGGTGGCATCCACCCCTAGGGTAAAAGCACACATCGGCACTATATAACTTTTGTTTCTTGGGCCATTCCCGAGCTACAGTTCAAATTTCACGTCAATCTATTCCATCCGAAAAAATTGGTAGCAAAATGCTTCAGTGACTGGACTAATATAAATATTAGAGCTTGAGAAAGATAAATTACAATAATACTCACTGATATCTCGTAAATTTGTATTGGTCAAGACCGAGAAGGGTAACGTTCTTAAAGTGGGCCTTATAGTTTACCGCTCTCGTGCCCTGCTGCATGGTTATTTCAGGAACAACAAACTTCTCGATCCCCGGAAGAAAATCCGGGATGCCTTTCCTGATATCAGGCCTCACTTCCTCTGTGGCTTTGAGCAGGCATTCCTCCAAGTTCGGATCCGTCCGCTTACATCTCGGAAAATGGGCAGCTGAGATTGAATTGAAACGACTTCAAAACATTGGAGAAAATAAATAATAATCTTGAAAAATTAATTATTTAGATAAGGGAGAATACGGTAAATATAACATAATGCTCTGATTAATATATTTACTTATATTTTTAATTCGATTTAATAATAGTGTATGTATTAATTAAATCGATAAAATTTAAGGCACAATTTTTGAGTGATTTTAAATCAAATGGGTTCGCAAATCGATAGTTTTTGAAATTCAGAGCTTGGATTTAAAAAAAATGTCACTTTTTCTATAATATCTATGGCTACATTTAATGCAGGTCTTTGTTAAATATAGGGAGTTATATTTTTTTACTCCGTCGTATGCAGACTGAAGTTTCCTTTCAAGCCATATAATCATTATTAGGGTTGCCGTTACTACTTTTAGAGATATTTGCAATTTTCTATTTTTTGATACTTTTTCTCGTTATAAATAAATATTACACTAAGTAAAAATTAAATTTTTAAAATTTAAAGTAAATATTTATTGAGTTATTAAAAAAAGAGTAAATATAAACAAACACTGGGATGTGCTTGAATATTTTTACATTATATGTTAAAATCAGGTACTATTGTCGTAAGTTGCAATCACATTGCAGATTCTGCATTAAGCGCATTGTGATACTTTATTTTTGTCACTACGTATGTGGAAAATGATTTTTCGTAGAGGTGCGTAGTTGCAAAAGGCATTAATACATTTATTGCTTGGTCAGCAATTCCAGGATATTCCTTATAAATCTCTAGCCAAAAATCAAGGGAAAGGCGACGTAACCCAACGCAAAGAACACTGCGCCAGCTTATAAGTTATAAACCGACTTACTTGCACTTGCATAAATAGATAAAACTCTTATAGTAACTTATACGCGTGTATCCTTATAAAATTAAAAAGTTTTAAGAGTATACATATTTTTGAAGTTTGTACCTAATTATACAGCCCCACAAAAAAAAAGAATCGGATCTGGTATTCAGACCCATGTATTTATATGTATTTTTTTCCGCTGAAGCCGAATCTGCCTTTAGATTTGGCCCAACGGGTCTGAGTTTTCGGGAAAATTCAAAAAACAAGTCAAAATTCACAAAACACGTCATTTACGATCGACGAAAGTGATAAAAAATCAAATTATTCTACCAGCTCAGTAGACGTATGATTTTTCACTCGTTTAATTCCAATTTATCATCATAGAGTCAGACAAGCTGCTCCAATTTCATTCAAAAACAGAAAAGAGATCATCTCTCAGTACAAAAAGTAGATGGATAGTGGATGGTGGATGGGTGGGTTTTATAGGTGGTACAGGTGGATGAATAAATTCATGCATGAATGACTGGATAGAAATATGTATGGATCCAGAACTCTGCAACACGAATTATGCCATGAAAATGACGTTTTTAAGCATTTTGATCTATTTTCTGTTTTTGAATGAAATTGGACCAGCTTATCTGACTCTATGATGATAAATTGGAATTAAACAAGTGAAAAATCATACGTCTAGTGAGCTGGTAGAATAATTTGATTTTTTATAACTTTCGTCGATCGTAAATGACGTTTTTTGTGAATTTTGACCTGTTTTTTAATTTTCCCAAAAACTCAGACCCGTTGGGCCAAATCTGAAGGCAGATTCGACTTCCGCGGAAAAAAATACATGGAAATACATGAGTCTGAATACCAGATCCGATCCTTTTTTTTAGGGGGGGCTGCGTTATCGATAATAAAATTTTAAATTTTCGCGGAACCCTCAGAGAGATTATGCGGAACCCCAGGGTTCCGCGGGACACAGTTTGAATACCGCTGAATTATACTAATGAGGATTATTTTAAATTGTTTGTTATTTATGGAAAATGTGACGACATTCTAACTACGAGAGTTAGCCCAGAAGTCGGAGACTTGTGCGGGAGAGGAGGCGGCATATTATTATTACGCAGGCCGTATTTGTGCCCAGGAACGACTTATGTTGGTAGGCCCTAACCACCATTCAGTGCAGGAATGAGTGAAACCTGGAAAACCTCATTAATTAGGGGGGTGGTCATATGCCAACCGGTGTCAATCTCTCACATTGACCCAAGCCAACATTCTTCCACCCTACCATACCTGCACAGAGGGTGCCAATCCTCCGTACAAGCATAGCTAATCTACGGTCTACCGGCCGTGGGATTCGAAACCCGGGCAGATCTATATTCATATAAATATTGCATAACGAAAATGTAAAGTGAACGCACGCTATCAGTATTGACAAACATATTATAAGGGAAACAGTAGCTCACAATGACCTAGTTATTAGTACATACATTAAAAGTTTAGAGAAATTAGCAGGATAATTAATTATAATAAATGAATGAAAAATTAAAGAAATATGTATGAATGAGTTCACAAGTTATTGAAATGTTTAATCAAAATTGCTTCTTTAAATCAGAAATTTATTTGTTATAAACAGCACAAAAACTACGTTGTTTTTTATGTGATTAATTAAATTACTTACGTTTCGAAACAATATAAATAATTAGCAGCAAATAAAAAAAATAGAATGTAGGTAGACAACTAAACACAAATTGATTATTATCATACTTATTTAAGTCAACTCAATAAAATTTTTACCAAATACGGGTTTTCCAGAACTTTAGTGAACATCAAAGAGTACATACTGATTGCAAAATATTAATTTCTAACTTATTTATTTTTATAATACACACATTTGTTTTATACAAAATACACCTCACTATATACAGTATATCTATAGAAAAGACGTTGAATAGGAAAAAACTTGCTCTTGATAAAAAATTTTGTTTGTTCTTAAAGTAAAATTACGATAGAAAAATTTAATAATGTTGTACGGGGTGTTCAACAATTTGAAAAAACTTTACATGGTACAAGAGTAAACTGCACTTATTTGTGAAGATGTGGAAATAAGTTACTAGGAAAAGTTTACTTTTGAACAACTTTTACTAGCAACTTATTCCCACATCTTCACAAATAAGTGCACTTTACTCTTGCACCATTTAAAGTTTTTTCAATTTTTTAAACACCCCGTACAAGATATGTTAAATTTTTCTATTCCATTCTTACTTTAAGAACCAGCAAAATTTTTTATCAAGAGTAAGTTTTTTCAATAAAATGAAAAATATGAATGTTTTTCCTATTCAACACCTTTTCTGTGGACATACTGTATAGCGCACTTCGTTAAGTCTCACGTTTCGAAAATCAATCTGTCTCCATTATCAGACTCTTGAGATTGGAAAAAAAGGTGATACAAGAAATAGTGCCAGGAACAAAAAGGCTTTATTGTACATGTTTTCAGGTAATATTGTCATTTTTTTTTCAAAGGATTTGGATTCAAAATGGCGACTGTTGGTGATGGCAAGCAGTGACACCTTTTTGTCAGAGGTATGGCCGGAAAGGTGTCTTATTAATGGTATTGAAACAAATCTTATGGTATTATTTACGTCAACGACTTATTGAAGTGTGTAGTGAATGTGTGTTTTGTATTTTCTATTTGTCTGATTTTTTTTTTAGTGTGAAATTTTTGATTAAACAAATCTATTTTTATTGAAAATAATCCTTGACTGGTTCTTTTAGCGTAAGGGTTTATTTGATTTATTTTTTATTTTTTTACAGGTGACAAAATACTCAAATAAAAATAAAAAACTGAAACTATGTCACAAATAAATAATTTCAAACAACATATATATTTGTATGCTATACACATATTACAAAAATTATTTCCTAAGCATTATTTTTTAATTAATATCTAATTTAAGTAAGCTTATTAAAATGGGTTCGCATATATCTGAGACTTTTAACATTTAAAAAATATTTCAATGAAACTCACGAAAATCCTTCGCTCCTGACACAGTGTTCCAAAAAACCGCGCAAAATAGAAAAATTAAAACTTTATTGAACATTTCAATCAAATACAGCGCTGTCAAATAATCCCAACAAGTGAAAGTGTGTAGAGTACTATAAAGTTAATTTATAACTGATGCATTCACTAGCCTGTACCTTTGCAATGGCAAAATACCTTGAAATAAGGAAAGACCGTGTTATTAACAATGTTTTGATTGTGGTTGAGTAGTAGGAAATATATTTTTTACCAACATCTAATGTTTATAACCATTTTTATATGAATTTTAATAAGTCAAGAGCAAGCAGTTTTATTCACTATGAATTACATATTTCAAATGGTTTTTATGTTTCATTATCAAGACAAAGCGCATTTGCTAACAATAATTTTCCATTATAGACTTGCCAAAAAATTTCAATTAATTAAGCGAATATTTGCTTTGTTGCATTTGTTTATATTTTTTCAATGAACCATATACATGACTCAGTTATGTTTTTTTAAAGTAACATCTAAAACTTCATTATACTTAGCAACAGATTCAACATTATCTTCTATGTGATAAGGTTTTTGAAGTTTTGTCACACGTATTTCAACGCACGTATAAAAATTTTATTTTCTCTCTGTGTAAGAATAAAACTTATCGATTTATTCAAATTCTTCTAGCTTCTCCATTATTGAGAGAGCACTTCTCTTTATTGAAACTCAAATAAAGGATTTATTGGAAGATACGAGACACATATACAATAAATGAAACAGGAAATGATTCAGAACTGGGTTAAAAAATAAATCCTATCCACTAATAATATCTACTTACATTTGGGATGTATATTTTTACTTATAAGGAAAGATAATCCCATATTATTTTGTGGTTTTTGTTATTCAAATAATGTTGGCAAAAGTTTGTTTGTCACATCAACAACTTATATTTTTATTTACGTTTTTATTCTTTAATATAACCAGCCACATTTTCTTTGTTGTTTCTATCAAGAGAGGAAAAATAATTTAATTGTTTGCTAAAATTAAGTTAGATGTAGACATATATTAAAATCCTACTTCATACAAAAACCTAATATTGCATACATTAGAAAAAAAACTTTTATCGTCATTTATTAAACGGCAAAAATTGCCTTGAGCTTTTGATCATTAATTTCAGTAAATTATAAGAAGTTGAGATCGTTTTAATTGAGTTCTTCATTTAATATTTATTGAGTAATACATATTATATTTAATGTAATATTTACGAGACTATTTACGTTATATTGGAAATAGTTTAATTTATTTTGCAAAGTTGAACAAAAAAATTGAATAAAATGAGAGGTAAGATAACACACTTTTAGTACCTTATCTTTTTGAGGAAAAAAACCTATTTAGTTTAGATGATATCTTTTTACTTAACTTAATACTTAATTTTCAATAAAACTAACATTCTGCTATACAGTATATTCTTAACAATAAAAATTGTTATTGTTACAATCACTGTCTAGAACGTTCGTCATAGTAATGAAATAAAAAAATAACTGAGCATATTAAGGACACAAGTAGGTAGCTTCATAATCTTTTTTAATCTATAATTGCACACTTATAAATCGTTAATTTTCCTTTAAATTACTGTCCTGTCCTAATAAATCACCCTGTATGCACACTAACAACATTAATTACATGGCAATTAGTGGTTCACGGAAAATGTATTTGTTTGTAATACCTACTTCCTTATAAAAACACATTTAATAAAGATCATTTTGTTGTACTAAACTAATTGACTAGTTAAGTCATTAAGTTTTAGAATATGTAATTCCGGTGTATGTGTATATATAAAGTAAATATCTTGTTTCATCAAGGCCAAAATTATCATTCTCAAATTCCATTTGACATACCGAGTATGCCTGCATAGTTTCTCTGAATAAAAAAAAATAGCTTTCATCTGTACTGCAGCTTTTTCAGTTTCTATTTAAAAAAAGCAGTGCTGCAGGCAATCCATACAGAATGCATAATGAGCTCATGGAGCTCATAAATATATATTCTTATTTATGGAACCAATTATGCTCCTTTTATTACATAAATACATTTTTAATATCAGTTTTAGCAGAGAAGCATCCATTTTCATTTTAATTCGGTGACTAACAAAGATATGTAAATGAATAGAAAATAGTTACGCTTTATCTATACGATTTGAATAACATTTTTTATAATAAAATGATTTTTATCAATATATAATAAACTTACAGTTATATCATCTACAAAGAAGAGTGAGTAATATTTTGTGTACGTAGAAATGCGTAGAATAGAAAATTAAATTAAATATTTATTAATATAGGCAACTATAAATACAAGTATGCGTTGAAGGAGCTGCATGAATTGTTAAAAGTTTTCGTTTCCTTCATATCGTTTTGTATTTATAAATTATAAATTATTAGCCTGTTGGTTTTAAACTCTCTGGAAAACATGGAAGGCTTGTAAAACTCACAAAATTTTCCAGACCAGGTTCTCCATTATTGTTAAATAAAAATTCGTAGCAGAAAGTAAATAAACTCTCAGTATTATGTATTTAACATACGTAACAGTAATGACGTAATCACATACCGATTATTGGCTACAAATGTTAAGCCTTCTATTTTCAAGTTTCAAAAAAAAAAATGTCAACTACAAAATTGAAGCCACAAGTTTTTTTTATTGATATTGAATTATGTGCAGGTTGTTCTTAAAAGATAAACCAATCTCATGATTTTTTAATGTACGAGGTCTGTTGAGAAAATAACCGAACTTTTTGAATTACGCGTTAATAGTGATAAGCAGCATTGCGTTGCGCATAACCTCCTTTGTAACGACATGTTCTTGGGTTGTTGATACCTCACTTAGTTTTCGTGATATTTTATTTGATTGTTAGTGACGGTTTTGGAAATGTGTGATTTTCTGGAACAACGATGCAACGAAGGTCTTCGACTTCAACTGACGACTTCCACATTCAGAAAGTCAAATATCTGGTACGTGCAAATCACCGATTGACTTTCAGAGAATTGCAAAAGAGGTTAGCATCTCAATTGGGTATTGCTATGAAATTTTGACTGAAAAGTTGAACATACATCGAGTTGCAGCAAAATTTGTGCCTCGTTTTATGACCGAACTACAGAAAGAAAATCGTTTGGACGTTTGTCGGCAACTCCTTGAACAATCCAATGACGATGAAACGTTCATTCAAAGGATTATAACGAGAGACGAAAGCTGAGTTTAGATCTACGATATTGAGACAAAGGTACAATCATCACAATGGATTGGCAAAGGACATCCATGCTCCAAATTCACTGTTTTTTTTTTCGATTTTAATGAAATTATGTATGTATTTTGAATTCTTGTCTCAAATTAATAATGAAGTTTAAAAAAATAAAGTTCGGTTATTTCCTAAACAAACCTCGTATCTGCATGGTATGACATATTTATACAGAACTCTATTTCGGGATTGCTATGATCAACAACGATAAAAGGCTGAATACAATAATATACATCAAAATTCGTAGATTTCGTTTATTATGTTTTTTAAACTCTTCATACGAAAATTTCATAAAAGTTTATAGATTCAAATTATTCTTTTTTTTTATTCTTAAAAATAAGAACGTTTAGATAGGATGACATTTGTAACCAATAACATGGTAAAATAATTTCCAAACAAAAAGAGCAATCTAGACGTAATCTTTACTAATTTTTAAAACGATGGCAATGAATAAGTTTACAATACGTATCAATTAATAAACGTCTTACGTATATATTGAATTCTCGTGCTCTGTTCAGTCTAATCTACCATTATACTGATTATATCAGAAGGAATAAATCATCGCGTCGTCAATATTAGCTATCGAGTTGTATCAGTATTTAACAACCAGTTGTCACCAGATAAAGCTACTGTCTTCTTCATTATCCTCAGAACTCTACTTATATCATACAAGTGTTTATTTTATTATTAACAAACAAGGAAGACAGGTTAGCTTATCGATGAACATTTTTACAAAGACTTATTTCGAAAAAAAAACATCAACCGAAAGGAGTAGTTGTTCTCAGATAAATGAAACAACACGTGAAAGATGAAACAAGATGAAATAACATTATTGTTTTTTATAATACAGTAGGTCTCAGTATCCATGTACATGAAATACTCTTATATATTTAGGCAACCCGCAACAAATTGTTATAGTTGAAATTGTACAGATCAAATCTGATCCTTGTGTACTATTTACATAAATACTATAAAAATGAACAACTTCAAATTAATTAATTTTTTCAAGGATTTAGAAGTATTTAGGAACAATCAACACGTGTTTCATAAAACAGATACAGTAATGTGCTTCAAACTTACAAAAAACGATATAAAAGAATATTCCTAAATTTAAATAAAACAAAAATTTAACATTAGTCGTGTTATTCCAAATGCGCATGCTCGGAAAGAATAGCCTCATACGCAGGTGAGTTCTTGTTGATATATTATCGCTGTCATCATTAGCGTATTTTCTCTTCTTTTGTTTAATCTTGGCATTTTCTAGTTCTATTAAGGCTTTTTATTGTTTTTCTTGGTGTTGTGCTGTGTCACTGTGTTTATCGATTGTTTTTCTTCTTCAAGTGGCTTATTATAGACGTACTCTTAACCAATACCAAACTTTCCTTGAATGATATCCTGTTGCGAGGCTACTTCGCTTAGGTACATGAAATTATCTTTAATGCGCATTCTCAGTAACAATGATATAATTTTAATTTATTAATTACTATAAAAGTCAATATTGTTCTATAAATTTAAATATCCTATTAGTTTGTCACTTGGGGCTTGAAACTTCTTCAATATTTCTAATATTGCCAGAATATCGCAATGTTTAAGGTCATGACAAGGAAGCCATTTTTTTAGCACTTATGTCCAAAGTCATGACATGTCATGACAATGTTCACTATGGGGTTGCCTATTGTTTGGTGTATGTGACGTCACTAATCACTATTAAAAAGATCTATTAGCTTGGGGTCAAAACAGGATTATTAAACTAAACTTATCTCTATCTAAAGTTGTTTCGTTTAGTCGTCAGTCAAAGTTGGCAAAAGAATTTAGTTTATGTCAAATAACTCTTAAACGATTTGCCCGCTTTGTGTAAAAATGTTACTCTTCTAATATAGTAGTAATGCGCCTTAAACAAATATGTTCA